TCAAAAAGAAAGGACTTATACAAAGGCACCTGGAGCGTGAAAAATAAAAAATAAGGGCTAAAAGTATGAACTCAGCTGGATAAAAGGAATTACTGAAGCCAGAACCGACCTTGCTAGAGAAATGACAAAATAGAAGCAACAGTATAACCCCCAATCACAAAGAAAAACCCCTTGCAATATACTAGACCTATCGACCGTGCGGATGAAGAAACAAAGGAAGGATAGGTGCCAGGAAAGAAAAAAAGGAAAGGAAAAAATCTCAAAACTAGCTCCAGGAGTAGAACACTGGACACGCTCACTAGTGAGCACTAAAACTTACGCATCAAACGTAAACAACACAAACGTGTGGCCCCCCCTAACCGCGCGACACTAAGAAAAAACCAGCTACCCCTCCAATAATCAAATACCCCCCTAGATCAAGCTCATGACCGGTAATCACGAGAACCCACATCATAAAGCCCCCCCAGGACAATCTATCCCCTGAAACATAATACCCCAATGAGCCAAGCTAAGTCATGAGGCATAGGAACAGACACGTAAACGAAACAGACAATCAAGAAAGAGTGATCAAGGAGCCGATCCCCCAGAATCTATAACATGTAGACCATAAACCGTGAGCCATACACGTCAATTCCAAGCAACTGGAGAATGAAAACTAAATCCTGAAGGCAAAGCATGAGGCAGAGTGACATCTCCCTAAATCATAATCCGGCCCCCTTGTGCAAAAAGCCACCCAAAAAGGAAGAACTTATCGCCTAGCCTCCGAAAACTCAAAGTACTGGATCATAAAGACCTAATCCGTAACCCTTAAGCCACCACTAAATAGGACTACACCGTAACACCTGAAAAAAAAACCTCCAACATAGAGGCTGAGCCATGAAATGTAAGCCTTCCCCCATGGGACCTAAGACTTGAGCACTCCAAACAACCTTGAACCCTACTCGGTAAGAAAAACGAAGAAGAAAAAACTCCTGAGCCGTAACCCACGAAGCAACTTCTCTGAGCCTGAACCCAAGAACAAGAACTCGACCCTGAAAAATAAACCCCACCTCCCTCGACACTGGAAGCAAATCACTAACTTCTGGAGCTTAGGCTTTAAAGCCACCAAACAACCACAAGGATCCTGCAACCTAATCCACTAATCAGGATAAACTAAAACCTGGCACCTATCAGCAAGTCCCTGCACACTAAATCATCAAAGGTAAAGCGTGACCCATGCAAACTAAACAATAGGGCTAGCACCTAAGCCCTAAGCCTTGGAAATTAAAATAAGACCATGACCCCTACCCCAAGGACTGACAACCGTGACGCCTCAACCCTGAAAACTAAACCTGAACAGTAACTACTAAAGATAAAACCTGGACAGCAAAAGCCAGACAATGATCAGACAAACCTAAACGTACATCCTCCCAGCTGAAACCTGAAGCCTAGAACCTAAGCCTAGACCGTGAACCAAAAAACCCAACCCCTAACGCCTGAACACTTGATCTAGCCCCCCTGAACCCTGATCCCTGACCCCTAGAACCCCCAACCCTAAGCCTAAACCTAAATCCTAATCCATGAAACCTGGAGCCTGACCCCTGAAGCCTGAACCCTAAACCTAAAGCCCTGAACACTAAACACTGCGCACTAAACCCTAAAAATCTACCCCCCTAAAACGTAAACCATGACGCCGAACAACTAAAAACTAAAAAAACCCCCCCCCTGTCCCCTGAACCCTGGAACCTAACCACTGTCCCCTGAACCCTACGCCCTAAAATCTAAACACTAGACACCTAATCCTCACCCCTGATCCCTAAAACCCTGAACCATGAACCCTAAAGAAAGAAGCCTAAAGCATAAACCCTAAAACGTGAACCCTGACCCCTAGACCCTAACAACTGAGGCCTAAAACCTGAACTCTAAGACCTGATCCCTGAGCCATAAACACTAAAACCTGAACCCTAAACCTTCCCCCCTGATCCCATAGACCTAACCCCTGAACACTAGACCCTGATCGATCAACCATGAACCATGAAACCTAAAACCTAAAGCCTTAACCTAAACCCTGATCCCAATCCCTGAAACCTACACGTAAACCCTGAACCCTAATCCCTGAAACCTGAACCCTGAACCCTAAACCCTAAACCTAAACCCTGAACCCTAAACCATAAACCCTGAAGCCTAAACCTAAACCCTGAACCCTAAACCCTAAACCTAACCCTAAACCCTGAACCCTAAACCCTAAACCCTAAACCCTAAACCCTAGAACCTGACCCCTGAACCGTAAACCTAAACCCTGAACCCTAAACCATCACTAATCCTAAACCACTCCTAAACCTAAAGCTAACCCTAAAACCTGAACCCTTAACCCTAAACGATGAACCTTGAACCTTAGACCCTAGACTCTAAGCCATGAACACTAAACCTTGACCCTCGAACCCTAAACCCTGAACCCTAAACCCTAAGCCATGAAGGCTGCTCCGGATCGTTAAACCTATCCTTGGCCCTAAACCTCAAACCCTAAACCCCCCCCGCCCAACTGCCCAACCTTAACCCTCACCCCCCGACCCAAAATTTGAAGTCCCGAAGGCTGAACTCTAAACCTTGAAACTCCGAACCCCACGTCATGACGTTAGAAGGACTCCCGTCTAGGATTAGTCTGACGCTTGCGTGCCCCCCACATATCCTAGCCGTCGTACCCGATACCCCTGTTCGGGAAGCTTCCAACTCCTGTTTCAATACTTGAAAGCTTAAACTCCACCGCCCAGTTGGAGATATGATCACCCCCTTTAATTGGATGCACCCTAAGCTCCCCCCTAAGCCTCTGGCTGCCCGGGTTATGAATCACGGGGTTTGAATTTTTCCTGCACCGTTCGTTCGTGCTCCTGCTTTCAGCTTACTCTTTCTGTAGGTCCTCACTCTTATTTATGTCAGTCGGCCATCCGTTTCGTTCCCTTATCTGCTTAATCTCCTGGATTGACTGATCCTTTCATATACTTCAGCTTTCCCGAGAAGGAGGTGTGCTTCGTTTTACTTCTCTTCGATCCTTTCTCCTTCCTAAAATACACTCTGTACATACCATAAACAGTTGCCATCCCCATAATCATGCTAACAACCCCTCCTATAATACCACCAATTCCCAGGTTTTCAGAAACTTGTCCTTCTTCTGCCCTGGGGAGAGTGGAATGGTTTGGGGTACTGTTGGGGTGGAGGGAGACGTCGTCCGGAGGTGCTTGTTTCTTCATTTTCGGCTCCGTTATGCCTTGGCCTCGGTGATCTTCAACTCTCTCCCTTCGGACTGGGGGGGGACTTTCAATCCCTGTTGCTAATGTGCCTACCTCTCCTCGTCTGGCTTCGGCGTCGTCGGTTCTTTGAATTTCTTTCACACTACTCCCACTTCTTCCTCCATACTCTGCTGTTCCACCCTTTAAAGTTTCTTCTTGCTCGGCTTTCTTTTGACTTGTCGGTTGAGGTTTGGGGGGCTGCTGGACTGGCCTCCCATTCTTGAAGATTACAATGCTTTGATTTGTGGGACTCGTTTGTTTTTCTTGGATCCAGTTGAACATCCTGGTGTCCATTCCTGTACCATCCCCTGGGGAAGTGGGTGAGTGACTAAGGGCCTTCCCTGTGTGTGTATCCAGCAGTTCTAGTGATCTCGGCTGTGCCGCGTCGCTTTCCTTGACTAAGACATGTTTTCCAGTTGTCCAGATGTTCAGTTGGGCCTTTGGTGTCTCTCCAGTGCCTCCTGAACAACTAAACTGGCCTCCCTCCATTGTGCAACTCCCCATTGGACTTAAATCCCATCCATTCGTTACGATGAGAGAAGTGAGATCATAATTCCTTTCATATTGGCAGCATTCACTCAACCCATGAAAGATACTTAACAGAAATCCTAGGCTTGTCCGTTCGGCTAGAGTTTCTCCTGGAAGCAAACTCAAATTATCCAGATATTCATCCAGCGTTTCTATCTTGTTCGATGAAGATATGCCCTTGTGCTTGTTCATCCTTAATGTCACCATGTCCCAGACTCGTTGACAGAGCTGCTTCGATCCTGCGTCAGGTTCTCCTTCTGCTATACTGCTGCCCATCAGAATTCTCATTAAACATAATACAGCTACTAACATTCTTCTACCCGTCTCACTAGATGACCAGTCGCTGGCTGTGCCTTCCCTAAGCAGACTATGCCAGGCGCTTTGTCGCCAGAGAACGTGGGTTGTGCCTTCCTGTGATGCGGGGATTTGTTGGAGTTTCAAGGCCTCTAACATTACGCAGGTTAAAGCTCCTTTCCATTCGAATTGATCCCCTCTATTTCCCCATATGCTCTTCACGATTGGGTGTCGCCCGTTGATTATATCGCTCCACTCGTTTTGGGCTATCATACTTCTTAAGCCTGACGCCCAGAGCCCTAAGAACCCTCGCTCGGCTTGTTCTCCGCCACCATACGCTCCTAGACAATATCTGTCTTCTCCCTGGATACATTCTCGGCCGCTGGAGGGGGGGGCTGCGACTGCCCAGTAACCCCTTTCTCCTCTTAAACGCAGGTGTGCCATCGTTCCTTTAGCCCTATTTCTTCAGAGTGTCCTCATCGGCTGCGGTCAGGGTTATCCTCTTTTGGCTTACTCCTTTTTCTACTTGCTCGGAAATCTTTGACTCCTCGGGGAGGTTGAGTCCTATTCGTTATTAACTCCTTTCGGCTGACTTATTCTAAACTTGAAGCTTGTTCTTTCAGTGTGGTTATCTCTATCCAGCCGATTCTTCGGCCAGACCTGAGGTAGGGAGTTGTTCTAGTGGCTGTCTCTTTACGACTGTCCCTCAGATGTAGCATCCTTTCTTTCGGTTTCCTCCAGATTCTCACGCCGACTTATCAACCCCTATCCCCCCTGAGACTCTATCCTCGCGTCTATGGACTTTTAGTTTGTTGCTCTTTGCCTCCTTTATCCTCTTTTGACTGAACCTTTCGCCTGTTCTACCTGTTCTTTTTTTTCATTGGGGATTCCAGTAACCTTAGTGATATTCTCCGGGGGCGTCCTGCTCCTATCTCGGTCTGCTGTGGCAATTTGTGACTTGGCGGTTGGTTCTGCTCCTTGGTGCTACATTATATCGTTCCCCTTGAATCTCTTGCGGAAGCTAGCCGTGATTAGAGGCTCCCTCTCGTCCGCCGCATCACAATCTTCCAATTTCCTAAAACTCCTCCCTTCGCGTCGTCCTTCTTTTCCTGCTTCTGATCTAGTCCTCGTTTGTTCTCTGTTAGTCGGATCCTCTCGTTAGTCCTGTTTCCGTGCTTCCTCTCCTTGATTCCACTTTCTGCTCTACTCCCCGTCATCGACATGTTCATGCCAACTCTTCCCCTTTTAAACCCGGCGGGTCCCTTCCTTTTTTTATACTCGCTCTTTGGTTTCCTGGCTTTTAGAACCTCGCCTGCCGCGCTCACTCGTACAACTTATTCTCTACTCTTGATTTCCTCTCCCTCTATCCCTTCCTACCTACCTCCCCTCCGCGGAGACGCCCTTCCCCGTGAGTTTGGCAATACACGAGCTGTTGCGCTCCCGTTTGCATAGCCGCTCAGATGTCCCATTCTGCTCCTGATGCCTGTTTCGGTTCCTTTATACGTTTAAACCCCCTTCTAGTTGTTCCTGCTGGTGTGTTCATCTACCCTTATATCTCCTCTTTTTGTCTTACCTGCCCTCGGGGGGGGAATGAGCCGAGTCGTCAATCTCTTGTTTCCGTCCTTGGGTCGCATATTAGCTGCCGTGTCTGTCATGTCTTCACCTTCTCCAGGATCCCCCCCCCCTGTTCCTTCTTTTACCTTAATTACGTATGACCTTCACTAAGTCTCTACGATCCTTCTTCCCATACTCGTCCTTAGTTCCCCCTTCTTGCAAATTTAGACCCTCCCTCCTGCGCCTCAGTCATGCGGCCGGAGATGGGGGATTTCCCGTTCCTCGGGAGGAAGGCTTGTCCTCAATCCTTGTCCTTCATGACTTGAACTCGTCTTTCACTGGGGGAGTACGTGATTCTGATAGCCCCTCAGATCTGTCTCTCCTTCTCCGACCTTCCTGACCTTCTTTCTAAACCCTTCCGGTCCTCTCATACTCCCCTCGGGGTGCTACCCTTCTATTCCTCCTTCGAATCGTTCAGTGGCTCCCTGGTGGTGCATCATGGAATCCCTATCCTTCCATTTTGAGTCGCGCCCTCCGGGGTTCCTATTTGTTTTTTCTAGCATGTCCTTGACTTTTCCTGGCTCTGTTACCGTTCAGATGATTCTTCCCCCTCATTCTGTTTTCTCCCTTCATAGAGGATTCAGATTCCACCTGCCACGATAGATTGGATCTCTCGCTGCCTCTCAGGAGCTTTCGTGTCTTTTGTTAAATGACTCCTCCTCTGACCCTTGTTTATTCTTCGTCCTTCCGCGCCCTTTGTTCCTTCAAGACTCCTGCTTCCTCCTCTCTGGAGTCCGGAGTCGGTGATCTGTCCTGTAGTCTGGCTGCGGACGGGACTTAATCCTCCGTTTGGTTGCTCCCCCCTGTCCTACCTCCCTCTCCCGGCTCGGCATGATCAGAGATCCGCTCCTGTTGCTGTTTACTCTCTTCTTTCTCATTCGGCTGTCTGGTGTTTTCCTGTCGGGGTTTATTTGACGGCTGCTGGGGTTGTAAATTTAATCCTCCTGGTAGAGTCCCTTCATTTAGTCCTTTGTCGATCACCATGATCCGCTGTTAATCCTTCATTAGGCTCGGCAGCTCCTTTCATGAAACTCATCGTGATCTCTCAAGCTCCCATATGCCACCTTCTGGTTTATATCGATTCGATTTTGTGAGGGTGGTTTCCTTCGGCGTGACCTGCCTTCTTACCTGTCCTTAGAGGGACTTCCTCTCCCTACTTGGATCTGGCCTTCTGCGTCTGTGGGCATCTTGAGTTTTTCTCTCGAGGGGAGGCGTCTGATATTGGATATGCCTTGGCTTCACTGCAGTCGCTGGTGTTGGGCGTCTTAGGAGACTGACGGACTCCTTCTGACTTTGAGTCAGTTGATCTTCCCCTTGCTTGGTCAGTAGTTGCCTTCTGTGTTTATTTTAGACGTCCGTTCCTTAATGGTTCCTTGCGCATTATTCTCCTGAGTCCTCTAAAGCCGGAATTGAATGAACGGCTTCTATAAGAATATTTATTGTTTTCGTTCCTGATAAAGTTCCCGCTCATTTTGTCCTGCTCCTTCTAATGGAACTCATGCTGTGTGTCCTGTATTCATTTAGACGTTCCCTCGGGTGATGGCGACTGAGAGGTCGTGAGATTTTGCCATTTTGCGTTTGATTTAGATATCCGGTATCGGAGAATTGCTTCTTCTGTTCGTACTTGTCGTGGGAGGGCTAGTCCTGAGTAACCTGATGTTTGGTTTGTCCCGGATCCTGTCCCTGTAATTGATGCTACTTGAAGTATTTGAGCCTTGGCTTGGTTCAGGCAGAAACTGAGTTCTTATCTGTTCATGCCATGTCCACGTTCTGTCAAGGAAGGGGAAGTTTTTCGGCCAAAATTGTTCGATCTCTCCCCCTAGCCTTGAACTGTGAGGGGGTCCATAACTGATTATTCTTGTTATCTGGTTCCGATTAATTCTATCAAGTTTCCGCTTTTATACTACGCTAGGATTTATCCCTAACAATAGTACGTATGTTGTCGTTTTGGTTTTTCTTCTTTGGGGAGGAGGAGGAGGGAGGCGACGTCCTGTTCGGGGTGGCTGGGACGGATGGGCTCCTGCTCTTATGAGACTTAGACCTTCATTTGGTTCTAGGCCACATTCTTTGCAAGAGTTTAACTTTGTTGGACGTGATCCTGCGTCTGTAGATGATTTCAAACGTTTGGATGTGATCATTTCTTATTCTCCCTTGCCGGTTGAGTTCGTCGGTTGCGGCCATCTTCGCTAAACCAATGATTTCATTTGTTGACTGGTGACTGGGATCTGTTGACGGTCAGACACGGGGTTTGCCCCCATTGGGTCGGTGTTGCGGACCTGTTAGACTGGGACGGGG